TCAGTTATAGCCTCAGTTTTCATTATCTGTAAAGATGGAGCATCAATATCCAGCACCACTAGGTGTTTTGAGATCGGGAGGTTAGAAAGGGTTGCAGCATGAACTCCTCCCCACACATCTACAGACAGATTGTCAAAGCAGACAAGGACACCAGGGCTCGAGAAAGTCCCATTTACCCCACCTGGCACCAAATGCAAAGCCCCTGAGCCTTCAGGCACAGGTTCAACAGCCACAGAGTCCTTGCCTCCACCTGCGGAGGTGACCACAGTCAACATCAACTTTGCTGCTTCAGAGAAGGGATGAGAAAGAATTTCCCCAGCCGGTACTTACTCTTCCTGGGGTCAAACACCACCCTGCGCTGTAACCAAGAGGAAACACTGGGTTCTAAGAAGCAACAGCAGTTGAATCCAGGGCTGCAGGTAAAGGTCTATGGACAGGCTTGGGTGTGGGGTTAATCCTGCTCAAAGCAGGCTGGGGGCAGAGACCACAAGCACGGTCTCCCAGCCCTCGACTATGGCTGGAGAGTCCTGTGAGACACAAGTTTACAGCCAGGAGAAGTCTTCTGCATCTCATTAGCAGCTCCTGAGAAGAGCCTGCCGCGCATGGAGGTGCACAGAGGTGATTTCTCACACTGAGAGATCTTCCCAGGGTCCATGGAGGACACAGGTCGCTCTCTGCAGCCCTCTTCCCATATCCCACTGACGGGGGACCTCAAGTCACTTGCTGGGACAGAAAGGCTCAATAGTAGAAGTTACAATAGTAGAAACCTGGAGATAAATTTAGGGTAACAGAGAAACCCCCCCTAGTTCCTGCACAGCAACCCTGCACCTTGAAACTTAGCACCTGGTAATGCAAAACACCCCAATGAAATCCCTGCCAACAACGAGTCCATAAAAAGCAGATATCCGAGCTGAATCCAGCCTTAAAAATGTCTGTTTTCACACAAGGTACAACAACCCTCCCTCTCCAGGCGCGGTGACGGGCGCCCTGCTGCCGGCCGAGGCAGGCAATGCCATCTACAGTTCCACCTCGGGAATTCACGCCCGGGCAATCAAAACCAACAAACTGCCTTCTGCTCACGAGAGCCATTTCAATGTCTTCCAGCCACTCCTGACACATTTACAACACCAGCTCTTGGCACCCAGCACAGAGCCCGGCCAAAGCCGGTTGGTGATGACGAGCAGAGGGATGGGCTCATGTCCCGGCTGGGCACAGTGGCCACCACTGTGAGGGAAGAGGCTGCTGAAGGTCCTGTCTCACCTGGCAGGGATCTGCACCCACCACACAGGACCGGCTCAAGGGGCTGGAGCATCTCTGTGCTGAGGAAAGGCTGAGGGACCTGGGGCTGTTCAGCTGGAGAAGAGCAGACTGAGAGGGGATCTCATCAATGCTGAGCAAGAGCTAAAGGGTGGGGGGCAAGAGGATGGGCCAGACTCTTCTCAGTGGTGCCTGGGGAAAGGACAAGGGGCAATGGGCACAAACTGGGACATGGGAAATTCCATCTCAACCTGAGGAGGAACTGGAAGAGGCTCCCCAGAGAGGGTGTGGAGTCTCCTTCTCTGGAGACATTCAAACCCGCCTGGACACGTTCCTGTGGGACCTGCTCTGGGTGACCCTGCTCTGGCAGGGGGTTGGACCAGACGATCTCCAGAGGTCCCTGCCAACTCTGGCCAGTCTGGGATTCCAGAATTCTCCTCCTCCTGAGATTCCCCCCTGCCTACAGGTGAGCATCTCCCAGCCACACACTCCGTGTTTACACTACAATGTGCATCATGGAGACAGAGAGAGGGAGAACTTCCATATCAACACATCTGTACCAAGCGTCAACCTCCATGTATTAATACTCTTCAAAAGACAGGCTGGGCTGGCTTAAATACCTACATTGACAGAGCAGGTATGTTTTAATGACCAGAGAGCCTGCATGCCGTGTTAGGCACCAATGAACAGACCCAGTGGCTCAGTCACCTACCTCGGCTGGCAAGGGACAACCAACCAACACCAGACAATGGTACACGAGGACGTGCCAGAGGAAGAGGTGGCATCACATGGGGACCTCTGGGCCAGGCAACCATTACCCCAGCATGGTGTTTACAAGTCCCAGCTCATGAATCCCAGCCCAGCCCGTGCTCAGTGGTAGGAACAAAAACTTTTACAGAATCCATGAGATAATGGACTAATTACCAAATGAGAACTGCCTCGGTGTCTCCTCAGCCCAGCTGATGGTTCCAGTGCTGGTCACTTGCTACAGTGCCTCCACTTTCAATTTCTTCTCCTGAGTCAGAGAGGACCCCAAGACCCAGATTTGGATTTCTGGGTGTCGCACAAGAGCAGAAACGAAAGAAGAAAAGATTGCAAGCTGAGCAAGGAGTTGCCTAAAAATCTCGCTTTGGAAACAGCGACTTCCTCAGAAGGGGATGGCACTCACCCACCCAAGCCCGTTAGAGATGGCTTTCCCATGGCAGAGCCCGGCACGGCGGGTCCCGGTGCGGGGGACACGGTGTCCCCGGCACAGCCCTGCTCCCACGCTTCCCCTTGGGAAGGTTATTGTTACCAGGGCCCAAACGAAGCTTTCCTACAAGAGGAATTACATGAAAAAGGGCTGTCAGAAAAGACCAGCAAGCAAATAGCATTGGCACTATTGAATTTTCAAGTGACGTGAATTTCCCCAAATGTTTAGAGCAAAGGGCTCAGGCTAAAAATTCAGTAATTAATTTTCTCTGATACGGACATATGAAACCAGGGGTTTTGCAACCACCAGTTCAAGTGTTACCATGACAGACGTGCCTCCACTATAAATAGCAGCTTTCTCCCAAGATTCCAGCATCCCAACTTGAAAAAAAAAAAAAGCATGGTATTTAATTTCTACATTTAGAGAGCAGGACCACTATTTGTATCTCCCTTCTGTTGTCACCTGAAAGAAAAATACTGAAATAATCCTTATTCCTGCCCCGTGTAGCAGGTGAGACTAGATCCCAGGGTACAGACCTCCCAGGTTCTGCCTGGGCTGGTGGGCACAGACCTTCCCCTGGCAGCGCCCGGCATCTGCCCATCCCCACCAAGAGATGACGGTCCCCAAGGCGACCACAGCAACCCCTCACGGTCTGCCCTCCAGTATCTTAGACACCATGTGCTCCCAGCAACTGCCTTCTAAATTCTGTTAAGTGCTATATGATAGCAGCTGAAGTGCAAGTTATAATTGTAAATTATGTATTCATTTCCACCTTCCTTACCTGTAACATCTCTCACTGGTCTAAGTAAATAAAAAGGTATCATCTGATGAAGGAGTACATTTTACAGATTTTTCAAAATACACAAATTAAACACAAATCTGGGAAAGAAGAGCCAAATAATTAAAACTTAAAATAGTGTAAAGATGTATTTAAAAAAAAAAAAACACTGAATAAACTTCACTACCCGACTTTGAGTCTGGCAGACTTGATGTCTGCAATACACAGAGCTCCTGGAAGTGCAGATCATCTTCCTCCCTCTAATTGGGACCAGGAGTCTTACACCTTCTCCTCCTCCCTCTGGGCAGGAATCACAGACACCCACCTAACACCAAACAAAAGCTGCTAAAATGAGCTGTAGAAACCCACAGTTCAGGATCACTGAAGTGGCCTCTGCCAAAGATACACCCCCCCAGCAATGACCTGGTACCCTTCACCCCTCTGCCCCCAAGAGCAGACCCTGTGTACCGTATGACCCACACCAACAGTGAGGACACATCTGCTTTCCCAACCACAAGAGGGGCTGCAAACTTCTTGACCCTGGTGCCAAGCATCGCTCACCAGTCCCCACCACAAAGTCGTGGCACTCGGTGACACAGGCCAGCCAAGGACAATGAGGAAGGCAGCTCCTCAGGCACTGGAGGACAGTCCCATCATGGGTGAAACCCCAACACCAACCCAAATGCTCATCAATCCAAAAACATGGGGTGCATTTCCTGTACACAATTCACAGCCAGCACCTGCAACTAACCACCACCTTTCCAAGCCTCTCCAGTCTGAACTCTCACCTGAGCCACCTAAAGCAGCTCTTTTAAATTGTGTACAGAGATTCTGAGACGGTAAAACTTCAGCCAGTGCAAGGTCCTCATTACTTCCCCCCGATGCACCACTTAACAGCTCTCTGCTCCTCACAACTGCTCCTTCACAGCTGCTGTAGATTGCTGATCAGTGCCCCGTGGAAAGGACCCAGTACTTCAGACATCTTCCTAACATCTAGACTAATGCCAATTCAAATCACAAACTCCCTTAAGATATTCCAGCCCATAAAATCTGTGAGGTTACAAGTCTGTTTCCTTCAGACACTTCCTTTCATCCCACAACCTTGTGGGATGTCAAACACAGCATTTGGAATAGCATAGAGTCACAGAACGGTTTGGGTGGGAAGGGACCTCAAAGCCCACCCCGTGCCACCCCCTGCCCCAGGCAGGGACACCTCCCACCACACCAGCTTGCTCCAAGCCCCCTCCAACCTGCCCTTCAACCCCTCCAGGGATGGGGCAGCCACAGCTTCTCGGGGCAACCTGGGCCAGGCTCTCACCACCCTCACACCAAACAAGTTCTTCCCCACATCTCAGCTCCATCTCCCCTCTTTCAGGGTCAAACCCTTCCCCCTCCTCCTAGGGCTCCCCTCCCTCATCCAGAGTCCCTCCCCAGCTTTCCTGGAGCCCCTTGAGGGACTGGAAGGGGCTCCAAGGTCTCCCCAGAGCCTTCTCTTCTCCAGGCTGAACCCCCCAACTCTCTCAGCCTGTCCTCCCAGTAGAGGGGCTCCAGCCCTCCCAGCATCTCTGTGGCCCTATCTTATATCTTTAGGAGATGCAAGAAATTCACTTTCCCCCAAATAAGAGTTGCAGTTTAGAGCTTCCCGCCTGAAACAAGTTGGGAAAAAAATAGCTACTGTTTGACAGACAGCCCTTGAAATCCCCATTAGCTGGGTCTCACGGCCACGTCCCCTGTGTGGCGATCCCGCAGCCCCGGCGCTCGGAGGGCACTTACCCACGGGCAGGCGGAGGGTGATGTTGTTGCAGAAGTCGGTGTAGCAGCACTCGGTCTTTGTGATGTTCTTGGAGCTGTGGCAGAAGACCTGGGCGTTGAGCTCCAGGAGAGAGACACAGGACTTGATCACCTCCTCCCGTCCGTTGGTCAGCATGACGGAGGCCCAGCAGGCACCCTCCGTCTGGCAGGTGAAGTTGGTGTGCTCGCACAGCTGGCACACGCACTTCAGACCTGAAAAAGAGGGTTCCAGCTTTCGTGAGAAGGCCCCAGGAAGACAAAACCCCGAGCCAGCTCATCTTGCTGGTTGGCCAAGGCTTGCCAGTTCTCCACGAGCAGCCAGCGGAGCTCCAGCATGGGTCCAGAGCCAGTGAACAGGCTCTTGGGCTGCTGGAGGACATCAACCCCAACAGCATGGGTCCCCAACACCCACATGTGACAAGTTTTCCAACAGTCCTCAGTCACAGGAAAGCGTACAGCATCTCTGTCGCCTGGGGGAGAAAACTGACCACCCCAGGAAGAAGTTCCTGTGGGAGCTGCGTTTTGCCTAGACGGGGAGACGGAGCTTCAAGTCTTGAGGTTCATGTTCTCAGCTCCCGCGGACCCAAGACACCTCAGACTAGGCTCAGGACAAACACACGGGCACGTGCTCAATTCCAGATGTGTATTTAGACACAGCTCCAGTCATTACGTACCGAGTTCCAGTACTGCCAACAGCCACGGCAGTAGAGGTGACATCCCCAGCCACGGCCAGCCCTCACCTGAGCCCGTCCCATGCTGTGCTGGCCACACCAGAGCCAACGAGTCTACTACAAGGAGTCTGCAGAACAGCCAAGCCCAAGGTCCCGTCATGCACCACCCTACACCCTACGGACCGACACCGACAGCAGCAACGATGGGCTTTTCCTCCCCAGGTCTTCTGAGATGATGCACCTCTCAGGCACCCAAACAGCCACCCCATTGCTTTTGGGGCAAGAGGCTGATGACTTCTGAGCTTCACGTGTTTTTAACCACAACTTCATGTTTTACCAGATCAAACAGAAACACATTTAATAACTGCTATGTTTTTCAGGCTTCATTGACTCTTCCTTGGAAGAGGAGGAGGAAACCAAAGCTACATCATCTCAGTGAAACACCAGATGCCAACAATTTTTTTGCCTTCCCTGTTTTCTTCACCTGTGTCACAACAAACTATTTTTGCTCGCATCATGCCAAGTTTGGGAGCGATATTTAGCAGTGATACAATAACCAAGGCATCTTAACCTTGGGCTGACAGCAATTTCTACAGGAAGCCTTTCCTTAAGTGCACTTTATATGATTATTTTGTTTCTTTAAAAAATAAAAACCCAACACCACACTTTGGAGTGCAGAGACACGATCTCTTCAACTTTTGACTTAAGCAGTTCTTATCCCAGCACAGGGTCCCCCAAAATGCCTTCTGTACACCCTCCTGGGTCAGTTATAATGCTGCAGGACTGAACGCTGCTCTACTTGCAGGAGCCAGGCTATTTAAAAAAAATAAAAAAGGTTATTTTATCCATAAAACCACCCTGTTTCTTTGGGAAACAGGCAGGAGGAGGCTGTTTCTTTTATTTAACAATAATTCACATCTAAAAAGTAGAATCATGAGATGACTGGGATGGCCACCAGGAACAGAAGAGCTTTCTTCCCATCGTAGTGAGCCCCTGACAAGCCAGTGTACTCCAACAGCCGACACGTTTCTCTTTCCGACACCTTTCCCTGATCAGCCTGCAACCTAAACTGGACTGTGCCATCACTCCAGGCTAACAGAAGGTTTGTCTACATGAGAGCACCACAGCTCTCGGTGTGATTTAGTGCATACCATGCCCATGGCTGGGGAAGAAGTGTGGTGACAATGGCTGAGGAAAAATCATAGAATCACAGAGTGGTTTGGGTTGGAAGGGACCTTAAAGATCACCGAGTTCCAACCCCCCTGCCCTGGGCAGGGACACCTCCCACCACACCAGGTGGCTCCAAACCCCCTCCAACCTGCCCTTCAACCCCTCCAGGGATGGAGCAGCCACAGCTTCTCTGGGCAACCTGGGCCAGGCTCTCACCACCCTCACACCAAAGAACTTCTTCCTGAGGTGTGGTGGTGATGGATGAGGAGGATGGATGAGGAGGAAGTGCTCGCCACGTGGTGGGAGCAGCCGGGATCTCCTCCCCGTGTCCCTGGTGGAGCCCCGACAGACGTCAGCGCGAATCTCATTTCTGCGTCTCCGACGCTATTTGTTTTCTCGACAACAATCTTCATCTGGTGCTCCCCTTCCGAAATAACAGCTTGTCATGTTTATCCTGGGCTCAGGCCCGCAGCAAACCTCCCTGGCACCATATGTTCCTGTTTATCCTGGATGCGGGATGCGCGGGGAGCCCAGCCCCTGCCTGTCGGCTCCGGCGCGGGGAGCGAGCACCATCCATCCCCCAGCAACAGCACCGACAAATCTCTCCCTTAAAGACATTACCGTGGCCCTAGAACAGATGCCAGGAGCAAGACTCATCAGACCCAAATAAAGAAGAGATCTAGCAGGGGAAAAATAGACACATCATCACCAACACTGCAAAATAAAAGCATTACTTGGGGAAATGAATATGAGGCTGTCGCAAGTGTCTTCACTGTTTCAGACACGTCATTATGCTGTTTTTCTCCCCCTTCTCCTGGCCTAAAAATAAAATGGGAAATGGTCTCTACGACATCATCCACAGCAGGTAATTGACAGTTTTATCCATATTCTGGGATTTTGCAGAGAGAGGAGTTTTGATTACAACTGTCACTGCAAGTCCTGAGCAGCTCCGGGGGCGCTCCCCTGAGCACGGGGAATGCAGGGCGAGAGAAGGACAGTCACGGGCTCTGTGACCCCACTTGGGCCAAGCTAAACAGCCACTTCCAGAAGGAAAGGGGCCACCTCCAGCCCACCCATGACCAGCGCTGGCTGGAGGTCCTGCTGGCCGACAGCCAGTCCCCATGGCAAGGACAGCAAGGGGTGCTTGAAGGTTGGTATTTTCTCCTGGTGTATTCAGAGAGTGTTTTGTTCTGCTGGCTGTCCTTTCTTTCTACATCACCGACAGAAAGACTCTAATCCCATTTTTCCCTTCTAGTTTTGCTCAAAACTGACTTGTCCGATCTACCGCCCACAACCAAAAGGTCACAGACGGGTGGACATCAGCCCTGCTCCCCACAGAGTCGTTTCTGCGAGAAGCCATTATACAAAAAAGAAGAAAAAGAAATAAAAGTTTAGTCAGAATTCTGACTACAACGCAATCGTGTTATTGCCCCTGAAAGTGAACCCATTCAGCCACCTGATGAGAAGCTGGGAGGAGGAGGGGCAGGAGCATGTTGAACTCAGTAATTCCAGAGAATGTTCATGCCACTCAGGGACTAGAAAGTCCTGGAGACCAAGGTGGCTCGACAAGCATTCCCTCTTCTCCCTGGGAAATAATGAGCTCACAGAAGTCACGTGAGACCAGCACGTGAGCTTCTGATGGGAACACTGCGTTCAGTTGGAAGAGGCAGAGGAGCACACGAAGAAAAACTTGTCCACACCCAAAAACATCACATCCTAAAAAACATTTTAATGTACTTCTGTCCTACCACACTTGAACCGTTGCCTTTTTTAACCGTTCCTTTTAAAAAAAGCTGAGAACCACTGCCCCAGGGGGTACAAAGCCTTCACCCTGCGCTTCCCAACCCAGCTCCTTCCATCGGTCCTGTTCTGGTCCTCACTCTCCCCCCATCCCAGTTCCTGCACCCCCATCACTAGGCAGCCCCAGGACCCACCTCATCCCAGGAGCTCTCCCCAGGACTTCCCCAGCTCCCTGCACCCTCGGACCACCTCTGCTCCCTCAAGGTGGCTCACACTCACCATTGCCACCATGCCCAGAGCCTCACCGATGCATCCTCCCACTCCACACACCTCCTCCTTCCCCCTCTCCCCGTTCCCCATCCCGCTCTCTCGACTCTTCCCCATGGCTCGGCCAAGGTTTCATCCTCTCTGGTGCCGGGGGGTGGGGGGAGCACCATGCTGGCAGCACCAGGAGAGGCTGCTCCTCTCTCCATCACCTCTGACAGCCCCACATCCCACACCCAGGCTCTCCAGGCTGTCGGGTGACGTGTGGCAGGAGTCAGACAGACCAGTCCGTGAGAGCTGGTGGGCAAGAAGGAAGGCTCCACACGTCTCTGCTGCTAACAAGGTCCAGGGGATACCACCCAGAGGTGAAATCCACCCTCCCTCCCCCCTTCAGCCTCGTATTTCAGATTTTCCTAGCGCTGCGTCCGCTGCCATCACTCACCCCAGGTTAAACGCTGCCAAATTTCAAGCCTTTATGCCGGAAAAAAAACCACCAAAACCACAGAAAAACAGTGCAGCTAAATCTATTCCAAGAGAAGATCGGAGTTTGAGCTGTGGGCAAGAAAAGGCTCTTCCCAGAAGATTTACATAGACCTTTTTTGAATAGAATTCTACTAAAATAGAAGCCCAAGGTTCCCCAGCGTGTGCTACTGGTTAATTTCTCACATAGAAAAAAAGGACAGAAAACTCAAAACAGATACAGATACTAGTTTCCAAGAGCTTTTGTGTACAGCAAGAATCTGCTAAAAGAGCAGAAAGATCATCTTAAAACAGGTAAGTACAACTTTAAGTACAACTTTCCCGTACCCATGCTATTTCAGCAGCCTCACCCCAGGGGAACAGGGAGACGAGGAGCCCAGGAAATCCTGAGCGTGCCCTTAGGAAGATCCACATTTCTCCTGCTCCCAGTCATTCCTGCTGAACAGGGACACGACAAACCCCATCACCCAGCGTCGCACCCCCGAGCACAGCCCCTCCGCCCAGCCGCTGTCACCATCCCCACCGACACCCGCAGGGACACGGGACTCGCCAGGATCTGTGAATTCCATCCCAGAATTTGCAGTTTATCTGTGTGGATCTGCTAGGCACATCGCAGGGCTGCTCCAGCTCTTCCATGACAACTTCCTCTATTACTCTCTCCTTTTTATGGAAAAAATTGTCCAGATTCAGTTCTACAGTCGGGCAATCGACAATCACGGGCAACCAACAATGTATTTCAAACTCTCACCTTACATATCTGCGGTTCCTGCTCTCATTTGACTCCGCTGTTATCCCAGAGAAGCTGGCAAGATGCTCCCCTCCCTTTGTGGAGGAGAGGGATGGCAGCACCATGACGAAAGACTATCCCATTCTCTTGCACCGT